TATTTTTTAATTTTTATTATAACGTAATATATTTATTGTGGATACACGTTGGATTTTCTTATGTGTGTGTACAGTATCTTAGTTGTTTCTCTTTTTAATTTAATGTTAGGGCATATTAATTATTTGTATCATTTTGCTTATTTTCTTTATTTTATTTTCATATATTTAGTTCGTTTTGGGATTTATATGATTTAAATGTTTTTTTTTTTTTTTATTATCTTGAAATTGCAAACAAAAATGTAAGTTTTGCATTATCGCTATATATACATATATATAGCTTTTGGATTATTGGATATTTATAAATGTTTGTCATGAATGTGTGATTTATTTTAAATTTGTATTTCTTTAGATTTTACTTACACAGGAATTGATCATTTTTAAACAATTATTTTTAAATTTGCTTTAAACTAATTACTAATAATGGGTTTTCTGTTTTGTTTGCAACATTTTGACATCTCATTTGCATACAATATTTTTTAAAAATATGTGATTTTTTTTTAGGCATACAATCGAATTTAAATTTAGACATTATAGCTTAAATTTGATTATCATTTAAATCTGCTTTGTTATTATTTAATTTGTTAAGAACGATTTTATATGTGTTTCTATGTATATAGATAAGTTGTTGTTGTATACATGTATATTTATTGTAGCTTTGTTTGTGTTTCAAATCAAACAGGATTCAAAACAGAAAAATATATGCGAATGTTTTCATTTACGAATGCTTTCCCTTAATGTTTTTTATTTGTTTGTTTAAAAGAAAATCGTCTCAAAACGAATTCTATTTATATTTGTTAATCAGCAAAATATAATATATAATTATAATAGTAGAATATAGTAATAATTAAAAAATCTTTGCACAGTGAAAAACATTGTCAGTTTAATCAGCTTTTACTTATATTTTGTATATCTTGGTTATTGAAATTTTGCCAATTTTTTTTTTTTTTTTGTGGGGGGGGGAGGTGAATTGTATGCTGTTTAAATATTTACTTTTTACTCGTTACTCATTTTGCTTTAGTTTTTTTTTTTGTTTATTTTATTTTTTATTTATTTATTTTATTTATTTATTTTCTTTTTTTTTTAAGTCTTATAGCAGAACACATAGGGACTTTTTCGGTTTCTTTTGTTTCTTTTCGGGAGACTTCTTATTTATCTGCCGGACCAAATCGTAGAAAATATCATTCACATTTACTTTGGCTTTGGCTGACGTCTCCATAAACGCGCAATTGAATTGATTTGCCAAACTTTTGCCCAAATCCTTGCCCACGACTCGTTCTTCCTCAAGATCGCATTTATTGCCAACCAAAACCATCGGTACATCATCGGTATCCTTTACGCGTAGAATTTGCTCTCGCAGATCCTGCAGATCATTAAACGTCGATTGTGCCGTTATTGAATAGACGAGTACAAAGCCTTGTCCATTCTTCATATAAAGATCTCGCATGGCTGTAAACTGTTCCGTGCCTGCGGTATCTAAAATTTCTAGCATACATTGCTGACCATCTACTTCGACTTGCTTGCGATAGCTGTCCTCAATTGTAGGATCATATTTTTCAACAAAAATGCATTGCACAAATTGTACGGTTAATGCGGACTTTCCAACGCCGCCGCTGCCCAACACAACAATTTTATATTCACGCATTGTGTTTTTGTGTTTTTAAACTACTATTAA